ATGGTCGGACAGGACAGGACACTCCACAAATATAAACTTCATTGGGGAAGTCGTGTCTACAGAAGGTAATTTTGACAATATGGGTGTCAGACTTTCTGCGACCTCTGGGGAAATAGTGTAGCATTCTACTGCTGATGCATCAGAGTCAGAGTCTGACCAATCCTTATCATATACAGGGCAATCTGCTGGGGAGATGGAAACCCTTCCGGTACAAGTATTAAGGGAGGAGTGTGGCTGGGCAGGAATAGGTTTGATAGTGAGGTCAGTCAGGGTGTATAATGCATGAGCTTGTGACTCAGATGTAAGGCGTTTTCACACTAAGGTGGCACGGTGATTTCAAACCAGGTTTGAACGTGGCGCTTGTCAGGCAACTTTCTCTCGGTTCACAAGAGGGCATTATCCTAAGTGACAATCATCTGTCTGTACGCGCCAATAAAGTTAATAGCTTAATATACACAGTACTTGCACCGAAGATGCAAGGCACACCTGCCAGACGCATGAATCAGTGTGATTATCAGTAAATTTGAGGTTTTATATGAAAGAGCAGGTAGCTGTATACTAATGATTAGCATTCATTCACTATGATTTTCAAATTACATGATAATATTAATAGAGACGTTTGCAACTGCACATAAAATATAGTTACCACTATTACCGCATAATATGCGAATGCGATAATGGAGCCGAGACTTAAGATGCCTGTCACTTATGTATTAACAATAACAACGTCTACGCTTCAGTTAAATTTTGCAAATCTATTATTTGTATTACAATTTTGTATAAATTCTTACATCATGATATACAGATAATCAATGATTACTAACTTCAGTCAGTACCAAATCATGACTAGCATTCCTTTTTTATAATTTGTGGTAATAATGGTAAGTGAACATTATACGGTGACAATATGTCATGAAGATTTTATATCAATATTAGTGCCAATAATATACATAACTGGCTCCAAATAACCTTTTAATTTTATAGGAAATTTAACTGAATGTGACAAACATAAACTATTCGTAACACATTCATATTCGGGTTTCTCTGATAGTTAATGGTGGTCCAGAGGTGTATTAACAGTTGATCCTTGACATGTTTACTCTTTGTGTGTATATTATTGGAAGCTGTTGAAACATCTTTTCGGTTCGTATCAGACGCCTCTACTTTGATAATTTATGATACACTCTGGCCAACCAATCAGAGCTCAATACATTTTGACATATTATATGTACATCTCAGATGATGATTTATATTTTCATTGATTATGAATCGTATCATATGTCTTTTGATACATAATTCCTTTATAAAGGTGAATAAAGTGTTTCTGTGCCTTTTTAGCAGTACATCAAATACATGTTCAGTCTGTATGGATGAAATTAGAAGTCAGTCGTGATGGTCACTGAAATGACATTTCAAGAATTTGTAATGTGTCCGAGTCATATGACGTGGTATTGATTTCGGTGGGATAAATATCTTCAAAGTCATTCTGTACCTCTATGAATAGGCTGTCTCGATTGTAGATATAAATCAGGCAATAAGATGAATAAATGATTATGGTTCCTATTTTCTTCGTAGTTGTAGCGATTATGGCCTGTGGGCAGAGAGGCTGCTGGAAAATGGCAAGCCCAGAAGGGAAGTTTGGAGGAAGCCCAAAAGAGTGAGTAAAATGCTTGAAATGCTTCCCTCTTATTTTCTTATCACACTCGCAAGACTTCAACCTCCAGTGGTCCAAGTTTCTGATTATCCGCCGAAACCTTCGTGGTTGCGAGAGCTCGACGATCTTCGAGGATGTGTCCTTGAGTTTGTCAAGGTTGGCTTGTCACGCCTCTCTGCCTCCATCGTAGTATGGTGGTCCGAGGGAGCTACAGACTGCGTAGAATGTGAGTCTCTTGCATAGCTGAGCTGATATTTTAAAAATAAGGAGCCAGAAGGGCAAACAGAGTTGTCTAACAGTAAGGACCGTATCTAAGGTATAGTTAAAAGAAATATACTACACTGCCGGGAAAAAATAATATTTCAATAATTTCATATATTTTTCTACTTTTACTTTATCATTTTGACCACTGCCAAGAGATAGACGAACATGCTTAGGGAGACAGTTGCAACAGCCGGCAAGGACTTTCATGAGCTGCAATTGTTTCTGACAAAGAGAGGAGAAATCTACAGGAGATAAGCATGGTGCATGAAAAAAGAAAGAAAAGCTGTCGCATTCTTGAATGACAAGCTTCCTAAGAAAGAAAGAAAATGCAACAATGCAAGGGTCAGCAATATGCTGTGCAACTAGTGCATAAAACACAAAACTGATTTATAAGAAGTACGTATCCTTCATTTTCATCATTTCATTGAAATTGTCTATCACACGTCACCAACAGCAAAGCGAAAATGAAAAAAAAGACCATGCAATCGTCATATTCAGTCACGATCGCCTGGCAGTACATCATACATGCAGGCTGACAACAACATAAGACAAACTGAAACTTAACACAAGGCAAGAATATGT